AATTGCTTCTTTCTTCAACTAAATATAATTTTTTAAAAATGTGATAAATTATTTATAAATATTTTAATTTTTTTATTAATTAATAATACAATTTATTTATATACTCATTAATATTATTTATTTATTTATTTATTTTTCAAATCCTGGAATATGTGGGAAAAACTAACAAAGTAAATTATTCTTAGGTCGGTGTCATTTTATCGAGTTGAATATTGGGCTGATGCGTGTAATGTTGTTAAACGGCTAGATTTTTTAAAAACGGCAAACCTAATATTTTAGCCGAAATATATTATGCAAGCATTGAAATTTCGCTCGTAGATGTCAGAAAGGTTTAAACATCTATCAACTTAATCTTAGAGGCTTGCACAATATCATTTTGGCTAGCATCTTAATTTAAAATTGAATAAATCGAGTCGTTATATAACGGCTGCTCCAGAGGCGATGTAAAAGATTATGGTAACAACAAAAGATTTTTTTTAAAAATTAAAAACATGGAAGGGGGGGGGGCGGATATTTATAATCAGCTGATTTTTGAAATTCTTTTTTTTATGAGGATGTTATTCCATTCTGATGGTGCCCCCGGGGCTCATTGGGTTCTGTTTAGGTCGGGATCGTTTTTGTCCTTTTTTTGTAAATTTATTTTATAAGGGATTGAATCTTACCGATACTATAATCAAAATCCAAATTAACACTTGTTTTAGTTTTAACTTTATAATTTATGAATTTATAAAGATATTTTTTGGTCTTTTTTCCATAAATACTTAGTGAACCAATTTTCTTTTTTTGCTCTTGGTCGGAACTCTAATCAATTACCGATATTTTGTTTTAAAATCATCTTTCGTTTCTTCCCTGGTTTTTTGTTTGAGCCACGCATTCATTATAAATATTTAAAGATCGGCACGACTCTGCGAGATTCGAACTTCCTGTTAAAGTTTTCAAATAGATTTTTTGGGTTCGAACTGTAAAATAAAATGTTTGGTATGGCCAATAAAATCTTTCCCCCACTCCGTAAATAATTTTTTTTTACAAATTTATGGGCCTTAAATCGCAATAATAATTGTGGGAAAGAAGAAAAAAAAATTAAAAAATATAATAAGAAATTTAGGGCCTCCATCGTAAGATTTTACTCGTATTTTCGTCTGTTTCGGTCAAAATGGACATTATTCTTAATATGAATTTTTATGCAAGTAATTTTTCTATTTATGCATTTATTTAATATATCAGAAAATTAATTACAAGTAATATTTTAATAATATTTAAGATATAATCTTAATTTTTAACTATTAAATGGACCAATCGGAAAAGTTGAGGAAACGATCAAATGACATTACGATCATAGTTAGGCAAATCGAAATTTCTGGAATAGCGCGTGGAATAGTTTGCAAAAAATTTCCCGGCTATCCATTCTTAAATACATTCACGTAAATTAAACATTAGAGTTATTTACAAAAATGATTATTTAAATCATAATTTTTTTAAAAACCTAGCTGGGCAAGGCCGGATCTAAAAAAAAATTTTAAATACCCGGGCAGTATATTAAAATCAAATATTTTAAATCGCCATTATTAGCTATAAAGATTAAAAAAAAAATATATATTTTAAAAAAATCCGGGCTCGGGTTTAAAAATATAAAACCCGGGAGGTCGAATTTTTTTTAAAAAAAAACCCGTCCGGATCGTGCAAATGGTATCTCTGTAAGGTTTCATTTAAATAAAGCAATTTATTTTTTTCTTTTAGGATTTGTCATTTTAAATTACCCTATCCTTTTTTTTCAAAGTGGGCCAGTCAGCAATAGTTAGATTGTCAATATATTTTTTTGAGGCGAGCCTTCCGGGGGTTAACTGCGCGGATATTTAATAACTAATATATTTTTTTAAATTTATAATTTAAAAAAAAAACAATTTTCTTGTCTAATTTGGGCTCTTTATATTTTGGGCAACATTTTAATTTGATCAAGATTTAGAAACCCCAATCAAATTTATATTAACTACCTATATGTATTAGACAATTCATTTGACGGATTGCGCAATTAGTTTAGCAAAATATTTGGCCCCAATGGCACTCAAATTAGACAAGTCCCACTGCAATATACAATATATTTTCTAAATAAACTTTTCGCATATCGTATATGAACACAATTCGAAAAGAGACGACCAGTTTTGGGGATGAAAAGGGGTCCTTAAATAAAAAAAATAAATGCGAATGTTCTAAAAAAAATCAACAAATTTTACTATTGTACCAATTGAATGGCTCGGGTTGGGTTAGTAGAAAAAAATTTTTTGGGCCCTTTAAATTTTTCATTTTTTGGCCCTGCCCTGATCTATATCTTCAAGCGGGGCCGGGCAATTATGAAAAGAATTCGGCCCGGCGGTTTAAAAAAAATTATAGCAATTCGACATTTTATGGTTCGTTTTTTTAGCTAATAGGACGTTTAATATTCTTATATTTAGTGTTGTTAGGCGGCTCGTTTTGAGCGGATTTTTAAAAACGGCAAATTGGATATTTTAGCCAGACAAATATTGCCTAAGTCTCGAGATTTAGCTAATAGATGTCCAAACCTTTTTTCCTTCTATAAACAAAATCTTCAGGCTTGCGCAATATTATTCTAGATGATAGCCGTTTTTAAAAATCGGCTCAAAACGAGCCGTTTATCATCACAAATATCTTCTTTATTCGATGTTCATTTTAGACGAAATATAATTTATTTTGTAATATTAAATGTTTGATTGACTAAAAATATAAATTATAATAATAGGCCTCTAATTATCTAGTCTTACAGTAGAACCCATAAGGACAAATTAAAATGATAAAGTTGGTTATATTAAGTAATTTTCTAATAATTTACAAATTCATAAATCGATATAAAAAATTACTACATCTAATATTAATTGGGTTTGCTTATTATAATAGAGATTCAAATCCCGGCCCGGCCAGCAATAAAATATTTAAGGGCCGGACCTGACAGGGATTTTTTTAAAAAACCTATAATGAAACTGGTCAACAAATTTAGAATTTTCGCGTCGGGCTAGAAAATTTATACATAAAAACATAAGTCAGGGTCGTTTCGTAAAATTTATGTAGCTATTAAACTCTAATATCGTTTTATTTTGCCCCTTCCCTTAATTCTCACCTTTACTTAATGCTCATAATTATTTCTTAATAATTGGTTAAATACTTAATTGCCCAGAAAAAAAATACTATTTCTTCAGGTATAAAACTGAAAACGCTTAGATTAAAAAAAATGAATTGCAGAAAAATATATAAAACGGTCAGAAAATTGTTTTAGATTTTAAGAAAAATATCTGTAAAATTTAGTGCTATAAAGTAACTTCAATAAAAAGAACGTTACCTTCAAAGGGTAATGTGTTTCTTTTTTTTGATTAATTACTCGTGACTTTATATTTTATCTTAAAAAATATGAATTTTTTTAAATTAAATTTTATAAATAATTTAAGCCGAGTTTTTAATTCAGATCAACCACCAAATCTCTTCCTTTCTCTCATATTTATTATCTTTTTGTTATTGAATTTCATAGTTTTCTAATAATAAGAGTGCCCCACTTTATAAATTTAAGATTTTTGAGTTTAGGAGTGCATTAATTGATTTATTTCCATTATATATATAAATTTAAAACTAGTAAAAATATTAATTTTTGGTCACGTAGCAGTCAATTTTGGGCTTTCTTTTGTAATTTTTGTTATATATGCCCTATCTTCTTATCATATTACACATTTCAATTGATCTGCCTTTGCGGCTATTTATTATTATTCCTTTTTGCTCAAAAATACCTTTCCCTTTTTGCGGCATTAATCAGAAGGAACATTTTTAACCGGTTTTATGATACACAAATCTTTGTGTGAATTCTAGTTAAGCTATAAAGCATCGGATAAAGTTTATGCAGAATGACATAATTAAAATTTAAATTAATTATAATAATTAAGATATAAATATAAATTTAACATATTTTTTAAAGTAACTTGAAGAGTAAGTTACTTTTGTCGTTACATTTCAAAAATGTAACTAGTTACAGTAATTATTTAATATATTTATATGAATGTATTTTGCGAATCTCACAAATTAATAACATTATTGAGTTATATAAAGAGTTTGACTGTTGTCCTACTGCTTGTAATTTATTAGAAAGAAAAAAGCTATTTAAAAATGGATAATATAATCAGAGCAATCAAAATTATTAAAATATTCGAATATAATATTTTTTAAATTAATATTGCAAGCTAAAAGGAAAATAATTGTAATTTAAAATGTGATAAATCCAATTAAATACTTTCTCAGCCCAAAAATTATATCTTTCAAATAATTAATCACCATCATCATTCTAAAAATAAGCTAATTTAGACTAAACAAAGTATAGTATTTACATTAATTATGAAGCGGAATAAAATGGGAAAGGTAAAATATATACATTATTCCAATGTATGTATTTAAATTATCAATCCTATAAATTTAAGACATTTTGATCATAAACTTTTGAGTCATTTTTAATTTATATATTAATAATACAATGATTGAGTACTGATACGTACTATATACTTCAAATTCTAAGTATGAAAATGATAAGTAATTCATGAAACAGTTAAATTTCTTTCCCGTTCACTAAAAAATTACGAATTCAAATCTGATTCTTAGCAATTCTAAATTTTTCAAAAACTCTGTCAGGTTGATAAAAATCCGCTCTCAAACTACTAGCATTGTTTTATGGACAAAAAATTGCCTCTTTCAGAATCGTCATAGATAATTTTAAAAAAAAATTATTCGTTTTCATTTTATAAATAAATTCAGGCAGATGTTTATAATCTTAGAAGACTATTAATCTTACAAAAAATGCTGTTTTTGTAATAGTGAGCGCCAGAGCAACCATTCATCCAATATTCCCAAATCGCGTTTCATTGCATGAGAATCAAAGACTTTCATATTTATAATCTTACAAAATTTTTGTTCCTTAGGATCAAATAGCAGGTAGTTGTAATTTCAATATTTTTTATAAATAACAATGAGCAAATATAAACGCAATAAAAAATATATAATAATTTCTTATCGTATAATGTAATAGTGATCATGATCATAATTGAGATTATACTACTATAATAAAAATGTATAAATAATTATAGGAAATCTTAAGAAGTAAATGCTTCTAGTTTGTCGTTCAAAGCGCACACGTGGTCCGACATGGCAGATAATTGATCTTCATAATTCTTTTTTATGGTGTTGATATCCTCCTTATTTTATTAAAAGAGACATTGTAAAGATGTAAGATGCATAATTATTAATAATATTCGAATAATTCTAAAAAAACATTTATTATAGATAAATTTCATAAATAGTAACTATTAGTGCCAAATTCTGATTCAAACATTTTTTAAAAAAAATTTAAAATCATGCATCTTGTTATAATAATAATGAATCTTCCCGTTAAATACATTGTGAAAAAAAAGCTAGAAGATATTCTAGTTAAAAAAATTAGAAAATTTGTATTACTCTAATTTAAAAAGTTAAAAAGAGTCGGCCTGCATAGTTTATAAAATGTCTCCACCTCCTTAGGCCTCGTTCACAGTAAGCGCGAAATCCCGCGATGCGTAATTTACAAAATATATAATGTTAAATTATAAAGCTAGGGCTATCATTTAGAGATTAATTACGCGTCGCTTCCTGGATATGGCGGTATTTTGCGCTTACAAGCGAAGCCTTGGGTTTAAACGATTTTAAGATATCAGTTAAGCCGGGCTTCAATCATCTTCAAACCATAGATTGAATTTTACCCTATACTCAATAATAATCATTTTTACGTTTAATTTGGCGATTTCTTGAAGGGATTTGGCAAGCTCTATATCCGCGATATCTTTTTGATTCAACACACAAATCATTCTGTGATCCATGGCCGACATCTTATAGAAAAATTATGGTGACGGATATAGATAATTTCATTATTGAGAAAATTTATCGTGATTGTTCATTTATTTTTTATAACTTATGTTTCTAAAATATATAATTTTTTTTGCAATTTATTTTCTAAAAATTTGATTTAATATTATTTTGTATTTAAAGAAAAAACACCTTAAACGGATGCTTTATGAATTTCAAAAAATCGTGCAAGCAATAAGAACATTAATTATTAATTCAATTTATTTTAAAATTATTAGTTATCGTAATAATATTATCGTTCAAATCAGTTAAATAAAATATTTGGGCGGCCACCTCTCCTTCATAACAGTCATGCAAGTTCAGCCCAAAACCGGGTCTGATTTTAAAAATTTTAGTCCGGGTTACAAATTACGCTGGGCCGAATTTCATTTTAAAAAAAATTTAATAATATCAAAACTAGTAGGAAAATCCTATAATGTACCACTTTATTCTGCTTATACTCCCACTTTTTTCTAAAACAAAATAAAAACTGCGACTTATCCGTACAGTTATGCAAAGTTAGAAGTTCGATAAAAAAAAGTTAAATGGATAGAGCAAGGGACCCAGTCCATCTACCCCCCCCCCCGATATTCCTGGATAAGAAAAAAAATTTTCCTTTATAAAAAACCTCATCCATCACGTAAACGAATCGGCTTTTATGGTAAGCCAAATCTTCTTCGATAATTTTTCTTTCTTGATCATAAAATTGCATAAGTCTTTTGTCCCTCGCCAATATTTTACCCTTGAAATGTGCGAGTGTCGTTTCTTCCTTTCGATATAACTATATAAATATTGTGTCAATCCATAAATTATCATTAAAATTTTTCACCGACTCAATATTTTCCGATATTCACCCAAAATCGATCGGATAATTACCAGATCAATTTTTGGCAAATATCTAAAAATATGAGACTAGATGGATCACCATAGTTCTATTCAATACGATGTTAATAGAGAAATGCTAAAATATGATTTTTTTTGAGGTTGAAATATCATTTAGTTTAAGGCCTCATTTTGTAGTTAAATGGAATTTATTTAAGCGGTGCGGTATTTAGAGTTGTGTTATTTACAAAATCAAGACAATAAATAGGTATAATTAATAAAATATTTAGCAACGATGAAAACTCCATGAGAAAATTTGAAGAAAAAAAAATTTTGTGATGCGATGATATAAAAATAATTGTGAAAAGTTTAAAAGATATATGATATTTCTGAAATATTATAAAAAATAATTATTTCTATTTTTATTTTCAAAAATTATTATCGCTGTGAAGAATCAGATGTTATTTCGATAACGTTAAATCACCGCTTGAACAAATCGCGTTTACTATAAATATGGCGTAAGACTTATCCCTCATTCATAATTAGTGCGAATTCGCGGTGAAGTATCAAAAATGATATAAATATAACAATTTTACATTAATTTTTGATATATCGCCACGAATATGAATGCAGACTTAAGAGGCGGGGAAGGGGGGGGGGGTGTTATATCATAAAGATATTCCTAAATTGTGGGAAATAAAATAACAGCGGAAAAATATATATATAGGCAGAAATTTAGAAAAATTAAGATAGAAACAAAAATAAGAAAGATAGTTGGATGGAGTGTTCCGTAAGCATTTTTTAAAAAAAAATTGAGTTAAGCTTAGGCCATATCAAAGTGTTCTCACCACGATTGAGAAATTGAGCGTTTTGGTTGTCATTATATAAAAACTTAAAACTACAAATATAGTAATAAATTATACTGAATCCTATTACATTAAAACATAGGAATTCTTTCAAAATTAATTCAACAAAGCACAGAAGATTAATTTTTAATTTTTAAACAATAGAATATTCTAATTTTTTGGAAATGAATATTTGATTATTCAATTATTAAGACAAATCTACGTTATTAATCTACAACGAGTGTAAACAAAGTTTTATTTAAAATAAAATATCACGTATAGCCTAAGCCTTGGCGATAATACGATAAAAAAAAATTAAGATATAGATACAATTTAATTTAATTAATATTAACAGAGACAATTAAATGGCGAGAGCCTTCATTCCAAAATGTGGTGTTGTTCAATATTTTAGCCAAAAAATATAATGCAAGCCTGAAGATTTCGATCATAGATTGGCAGAAAGGTTTGGACATTTATTAACGAAATCTCGAGGCTTGCATAGTATTATTTTGGCTAAAATCCTAAATCAAGCCGTTTAACTACACTACCCAAATGCAATAACTTTAATAATAGGAGGCTTTCGATCTAAAAAAAATAAGTATTATCGTAATAACGTTCTAATAGGATGCGTCAAAAGTAAAATAACGATTCTCGCATTTATACAATACGCGTCCAAACTCGATTTTGTAAATTATTTATTTATTTTTTAAAAAAAAGAATAATTTAACAACTTATTGAGAATGGGATGGAAAAAAATATGATTATATAATGTATCCCATGTTGATGTATTTTAATACCTCTCGGAAAATAGTATTAAAAATGTCTTCCTTCACCGAATCAAATTCCTTGGTCAGAGCCGTTCCCAGTGATAACCAGTAATCCGCCTTTATCGATTTCAATCAAAAAAAAGGTATGTATATATAGTAAATAATATAAATATTTCAATCATTATCAAAGACTTGTATGAAACCAGTGCCGCATATAAATCCACAGCGGACCTTAAACGCCCATCCTTTGAGGAGGGGGGGGGGGTTAATTAAGGGTTTCTTATAGCTATAAACAAATGTGAGGAAAACTTAAAAAAGACTAAAAATAATAATTCATTATGTAACATGCAAATGGTGATTTGATTTGTTGCAGTATCTTCTACACACTCGAAAAGTATAGATCATGCCAAAATGCAAAAATTGTCTAAATCTAAATTTTTATGAATAAGTCTGGGGTTATGGGTCTTCGAAAAAAAGTCCAATTCGGACGCCATATTTGTTAAACAACTCAAATTAATCTATAAATATTTATGCTAGTCAAAAATTTATAAATATCATTATGCACCACTTGAAATTTATGTTAAATTATTATATGGTTCCATCTCCTTCTATGAAATATATTGAGGAGCCATTTTTTTTTAAAAAACCCATTAAATTTTGGTTAAACCCTTATAATATTCTATTATTATTTCTTTAAAAATTTGGGGGAAAAAATATTTATTTAAAATAAATGTAAAGCAAGGCCGAATGGCTTATCTTCCAAAATTCATTGCAGCATCATGTGACTAGAATATCTATGTTTAAAAAAAAGTATTTATACAAGTGAGAAAGAAGGGAGATTAATAAAGGATAATTTTTTTATTGATCCTAGCTCAATTTCGATATGAAATGAAATAGTGACGATCATTGGTCAGTTAAACCGTTCCATGAACCAAATAAAAGGTTCTCAGCAGATGAAAACCGATTACACACTGACAATCAAGAGATGTAATGCAAAAAAAATATCGCTCATAAAAATGAAAAGGCTTACGTTTGGTTCTGGCCCAGTCAAACTTTTTGATTTTGTGGCTAAATAATCTATGGAATCATGCAGCTGTTAAAATAAAGAGAGGAAATAAAAATGGGGATATATATTTTATTAGATAAATCATGCTGCCTCTTTATTTTCTATCTTTCTATTAGGTTAGTTATCTTATCAATTTGGAAAAATTCAAAAACCTTAAATTTAATCATAAAAAAAATGCAATAAACAATAACAAGTAAGAGACAAATAAAAATAAATGGTAGGAAAAAAAAATTATAACGTGATCTATAAACTTTTTTTAAAAAAAAGAAAAAAATGTTTCAAATAAATTATAACCTTCCTATCTTGCCCTGAATTAGTTTCTCTAAAATACAACCCAATCAATGTCAATTTAATTTTACCCACTGTCAAAAAACGAAAAATTAAGATCTTAGATATACCCGAGTAATAATCACTATTATTCATGTAAAATTTGATTGGTTTCAAATTAATAGTATTTTCTTCAATTTTTATTTACCATTTTTATGAGTTTTATTACGATTTTTTTTTGCGTTCGATAATAAACGTGATTATTGTAACATATTCTATAAAAAAAATTCTAAAAATTACCATGTGCGCAAAAATTTTCGCACCTCATTTTATACAAATTTTTAAAATACTTATATAATTAAATACTTTTCGGGCGAAAATTAGGAAATACGCAACGTATGTGGCACGTTTAGCGTTAAATTTAGATTCCTCTTTGGTCCGATCGCAGTTGACGTCTTCTTTAGAAAGCCACTTAGCTATGTCCCGGTTTAATTCTAGGAACTTAATTTGACTGGCATAGGTTTCGATGGGATCTTTATATTATTTTATTTTTGTTTGAGAAGGGTTTCCGATAATGAGATTTGTTTTGCTATCTTTATAAGAAAAGCAAGTAGCGAATACTACCCTTTATAATGGTATCCTCAAAATCAAATCCAACTCCCTGATATCATTTAGAGGTTAATTTTTAAGTTTAAATATGTAACCAATGAAATGTGGGATAATAATTATATTTTTTTTAATTTTGGAGACAAATCCTTTATAATTTATTTTCAATAATCAGATCCACTTAATCCCCCCCCCCTTCTCAAAGAATGTACTAACAAACTTGTGATAAAATTGTCGTTTATAGGCGATTCCCCAAAAAATTTCTGAATAAAGATGTTGAGCGCATTCAACAAAATGTCGAAACATCTTTCAGGACCATTTGAAACATTTTTGATTAGTTTATTATCAAACTTAGATGACAGCAACATATCTTCTGATAACTTGACAAAGAATAGGGCTATATTCATAATCAGTATATCATTATTGGTGGTGGGGCTAATGACAGTGTTGTTTATTAGAGATTTAAGATTATTGTTTTCATCGAATTTGTTTGTATCTGCTTCACTATTTTTTTAAGGTATATAATATTATAAAATAATTTTAAAAAATTTAAATAAATTAAGAAACCTGACAAGGGAAGAAATAACCGAAAAGGAAGAAGAGAGATTTTGAAGATTTTGGGAATTATTTTGAATGTGCTGAGGCTAGATAAATTAGAATTTTATATTTGAAAAAAGAGATTGATTACTTTATCAATTGGATTTAAACTATGCTGTGATAATGTTTCAATGAGGAGCTCATTAATTTTACCAGGGAATAAAATTATCTATCTATCAATTATACATATTATAATTAAGGTTTTTTTTACCTGAGTCAACTTTTCCAGAGATTTAACACTTAATTCAAGTTCTTTTGGCAATAATAAATTTGAGGTAAAATCTATGATGGTAGGAGAGTATTTGTTATTTATATCATTTGATATTTGCAAAAGTTTATAATTTTGAATAAAATTGTAGATTAAATTTAATGATATAGATTGCATCAGCTTGAAAAAATAGGTAAGTACATATTTGTTATCAATAATTGATTTGTGATTTAGAAAATGATTGGTCATATTATTTGCTACAGATTTTCCTGCTGTTGTTTTTGAATCAATATTTTCCCCTTAAAAAAGCATAAATTAATATATTGAAAATATAATCTTACTTTTGAGCTTAGTTAATTCATCATCTAATTTACAAATTTTATCAATATAAATTTCTTCTATAACTTGTATCTTTAAAGAAAATAAAAACTAATCATTTTTAACTGAATTTTACATCACTGTTCAGTTTTTGGTTAATTTGAATTTTTTCTTGTAATTCTCTATTAAGTAAATTTAAAAAATCTTCATTTTCTAATTGTTTTTTGGAAATATTGATAAAACTCGAAAATTTATCATTCTCTTTTTTAGTTTCATGATTCATACTGTGTGATCTATGATTTTTAAAGGGTGTGTGGCCATTTAGATCATTTTGCAATAACTCTACTCTTTTACATAATTGTTTATTATGAAACTTAAGTGCTTCATATTCATATTGATGATGTTTTATATCCTTGTCTTGTAATGCAATTTTTTCCTTTAAAAATTTATTTCATTTATGATTATAAAAGATTACCTGAAATTCCTGAATTATCCTATTAAAATCTATTATACTTTGCTCTAAACTATCAATTTGTACCTTTAACTAATAAAAAAGTAATAAAATTAATGTAAATATTATTTACCTCTCTATTTTCATTTTGTAATAATCTCATATTTTGATCCTTTGCATATGTTTCATTCATTTTTTAACGAATGAGTGTGTTAATTGTCAAAGAAATTGTCTAGGCAACAAAATAAAAGAGAGAAAATGAGATTTTCGAAAGGATTTAGGTTTCTGGGGAAAATACAAAACTAAACATTTTCTGACAAAGATTTTACAGTTTACACAATTAATATTATTATAAGGTAGGAAGTTTTATGAATTTATTGAAGCTGATATATTTTGTTATTTTTGTTATAGTCGAAGGCGAGTATACTGACTTCATAAATAGTGGGGAGGATTAACTAAGGTCGATAGTCCAGTCAATTCGGTGTGGGTGAGAGGACACGGTTTCGCAGGAATTTTATTCATCGCTTTGGGTTCTAAAATCTACCAAATCAATAAATTTATGCACCCGGTGATAAAGGTACATACTTCGTCCAAAACATTTTATTTAAATGAAGGTTTTGTTTTTCTAGGTTAACTTAACTTTATTTTGTTTTATCTTATTTATTTAAATTGTGTATAACAAGAATAATTCTTAATTTATTCATAATACACTTAATATGCAGCTATATCAAATATTTCAAACCCGAGACGGTGGCATCCATACTATGTTAGAGCAGTTTTCTATCTGTTATTTAAAATATAGAAAGGATTACTCCGCACATCAAAATAGGTGCGGCTTTTCTTCCAATTTATTGTAGGGAGAGGGCATATTTTTATATTCAATGTCTGATTCCTGTCATCATTCTTATTTATTCCTAATTGATTTTATATTACGATAAGTATAATTCATCCTCATTACTTCGATATATTATTCCACGCAGAATAAAAAAACTAAAATGCCCAGAATTTTTAATTGCCCAAAATTAAAAAAAATACTTATAGCTCAGAATTTTTACTGAATTTCAGATATTATAAAATCGAAGATTGAAGATGATTTTAATAAAATTGATTATTTTATCTGGATAATTAAGTTTTTATTTAAGTATAAAAAATAACTCTGAGCATTCAATATTTTTCCTGAGCGTTAATTATTAATTCTGAGTATTAAGAAATTTTTTTGAGCATTCCAGTTTTAATTCTAGAGAACGATTAAATAGATGCCATTATTTTCCATTTCTCGCCTGTGGCAACAAGATAAAAAATATAATACTGATATATAAATTTTAAAACTTAAAAACGGTAATTTAATTTAATTTATTCTTTTATTTTTTTTAATAATTTGACATGTACTCATGATAATATAAGAAATAATTTGATTTTAAAATATAATTTATAAAATAATTATTATCAATAATTAAAATTGCATTGGCGGTGGAGAAACCCGTATTATCGACAAAGATTTGTATAAGTTACTTCATGCTCGCTTTTAGGAGGGGAACAATTTTTCAATCGTCGATAAAGGGTTCATTCGTACATTTAAACGATTAATGAAGTCTTCGATGAGATTTATTTTATTAAATTTTTCGCAGAGTGAAGATGAGGCTTCTAAATTCAAGTCTTGATGATTAAAAGTAGTATTTGTCTTGGTAGAGTTTGAAGAATCCAAGATATCATTGTAAGAATTTTCGATTGTCTGAGAATCTTCCAAGTTCTGAAAATTACCGGGCATCAGGATAAGCAAGAATACTAAATCGCTTTCGATATTTGTTACTATGTAGGTGACATCTAGACCCTTTAAAATCGTTTTTTTTAAATAGAACAAATTAAAAAATTTTTAGACGAAATGAAGTGAATACTAAAATGTAAGTATAATTAATAAATTTAAGATAAATCAAAATGATAATGTTAAAAACTTTGTCGTAGAAGTAATGGGTCTTGAACGGTTTTGATCGCGACAATTCTCCAATTATGTCGTTCCTAGATGTCTCAAGTAAGTCCGAACATAATTTTAAATTATTTCCTACTTCGAACGCTTTATCATCGGTTGTTATAAAAGAGTAATCATTTTTCAGTAATTCCTCGTTAGCTTCATTAACTTGGCATGGCTTGATATTTTCTTCAAAATAAGGCGTCTGGTCAAATTGGGGATTTGCGGAGGTTAGATATATTGCTTCCTTTTCATCGAGATCATTTGAATCAGCGAAATTTGTGCTTCCTTCCGGTATTAATCTATCGTCCAAGACATCTCTTTCCGTTATTTTAGGAATCAAACTAGAAGATGTGGTAGGAGTAAAGTAAGTGAAAAGATTGAAAAGATTAGGTCTTTTATTGTCTGTCGTAGCTGATAGGTTACCGCTTAAGTTGTGAAAAGAATCGATTTTGGTATTTTTGCTGCGAACGCTGAGGTTATAAGGGCCCTTGAAATGATGAGTGAAGTGAATGGTTTCAGGTCGGGTTAAGGAATGACTTTAAAGGAAAAATATTTATAAAAAAAAATTGATTATATACATAAAATCAAAAAGGGCATTCTGGTATTAAACTCTTAGAAGTTCAAAAAAGGTTAAATTTTAAATACTGTGAATAGGAGTACGGCTTGATATGTTCATGCTCAGTTGGAATATTTAACGAGAGACTATTACAGGTCGAAATAGTATCGGATCTTTTATTATGCTTGTTTGCACATATATAGTCAACTAAATTAGCATAAAATTGATAAAAATTTGTTTAATTTTTTTGTAATATGCTTATATTTTATTAATTAATCCACATATAAAAATTTATGTTTCTTTCTTTCTTTGTAAAATATGTTAAATGAAAACAATGATGACTATGAATCATAGGCCTAGACGTGAAAAGAGGGGGGGGGGATAAGGAGAACCTCCTCCCTTCAGAAATATGTCATATATTGTGAATATTATTTTAAGCTAATAAAAATATCCTCCTTAGCCCCTACCCCCCCCCCCCCCCCAAAAAAAAATGTATGCCTATATCTTAAACAATCATTTTAAAAAAAGAATGTAAGTTAATAATTATTTAAAATAAAACTAATGACTGTAATTCATTTTTTTAGAAAAAAACATCCTTTATCCTTTATTAAAAACCGTGTCACAGAAAAATTGTCAAGTGAAAAGGTACAACAAGCCATGAGGTGGAATCGAACCCGCAACGAAATATCATATTTAATCATTTGTGGTATCTGCTTAACCACTATGCCATTACGGTTTCTTATTAATTATGTATTTTTTTATCTATTTATTTTCCATTCTATAAATATTTTAAAAGTTGAATAATAATTAATATTTTGCATCATGAAATATACCTTTTTTGATTTAGAAATATCATAAAAATTTACTTTAAAAATATAATTTATTAAGATTTTTGGTTTTATAGGTGAAATATCATAGGTAATATTTGGTTTGACCACTATGGTACTCATTTTTAACACAAATGATTTGGAATTAATAACTTATAACATTTTGATTTAGAAATATCACAAAAATTTGCTTTTATAAAATTTTTTACACAAATGTTTTGAATATAGGTAACTCATAAAAATAATTTGAAAATATCACAAAAGTTTACTTCTAAAAGATTTTTTACAAAAAGATTTGGTTTTACAGGTGAAACATGGGTGATATTGATCATAAATCCTGTTTGACTAAATATAAGATTGACTTATTTTTTACACAAATGATTTGGAATTAGTAACTTATAAAAATGATTTAAAAATATCATAAAAAATTTTCTTTTAAAGATAACAAAAAGATTATGGCTTTATAGGTGAAACATGGGTGATATTTGATCATAAATTCTGTTTGAACACATAAAGGATAAACTTATAAAAATTTTAGAAATATCACAAATATTTACTTAAAATTTTTTTTTTTACAATTGTTTTTTTTTCTCAAAATATGGATAAAAACTTACAAATTAAGATCTTTTTAAATGTATGATTGAAATAAAATAAAAAATGATAGCGTAAGTTTCTGGTTAAGCTATTTTTAATTATTTTATATTTTAAATAATTTATAAAAATAGGGAGAAAAAAAATCGTGAGAGAGTGTAAATCAATAGATGGTGTGTTTTGGCGTAAACTAAAGTAAAAAGTGAGAGATTACGCAAAAGCGGGATATCTGGCAGCCCTGATTGAGCATCTCATAGAGTATATACTAAACCTAGTTTCTCTAAATTACAAGACTGACTTAGGGGGTCACTTTAGATTCAAAATTAGCTGGGTTCATCGGTAATCGGCAATTTTGTAGATTTGAAAACCTAGTTTTTTGGAATAAGTCTCTGCCTACGATGGGGAGATGATAAGAGTTAGTAATAAATTCAAAAACCACACTATTTAGTTAAAATGTTTTGACGGTGTCCATGTTATTAGAATTTACCTTTTGAACAATAGTCGTCGAAAAGCTTATCCGCGGAGTATAAGTTGTCTACTAGCATCACGAAACCTGGCATATATTTTTTCAAGGATTGATGATCGTTGATCTCGGGCATAGTCTAAAATAAATTTATTTTTCTTAAATTAACCAAAAATTTATCTAGAAAAATACATCATAAAACTTTCTTTTTAATAAATTTTTTAATTAATAGAAGTGAAAAGGAACAAAAAAATAGACTACAATATTAACCATTTTTTAAAGAAAAAATTAAATTCTAAAACACAATAAAAACAATTTTTTTTTGAACAATTAAATTCAAAACCAAAAAAAAACAATCTCAGGAGGTTTAGCAAATATTATCTAAAATTACTTACTTTTTTTTAGCTAACATTATCTAAAATTACATTTGGAATATAAAAAAAATTCAAAATTTTGAAGGGGCTCGAGCTCTTGCACCCCCCCCCCTTAGGAACGCTACTGAAACTAATCTTATTTTATTTTCTCAGTTCTACTAGTTACTATGTTCTAACCTGTGGAAACGAGGCTAAAATTTTGTAAGAACTTTCTATACCATTCGACCCAAAATCTTCGAGGCTGGAGGAATAAGGATTTGTTAAAAATGAACGCACCTTTTCGTAAATTTTAGCTTGATTAAGTCGTAGTTCAGTTTTGTCAACGTTTGAATAGGCCATTTGACCTAAAATATTAAACAAACAATAAGTATAAATTTGTTTAAAATTGTTGAGATGGCTTAAATGTTAATTTTATTAATTTAAAAACAAATGATTTTATAGTATAAATTTATCATACTTTTCTAACAAAAATAAATAAATATTATTTTTTATATAAATATCTCAACTAACGTTTAAAATATCCCTTCTTCATTGATCAGAAAAATTCGTTACTCTAAGAAAATAGTACTGAATGTTTAGAGTTATTCCTTACAATTGCCAATAAAAGAATTGCTCATATACAAAACTGAAACGCTCAAATTAAAGAATGAATCGCTCAAAATTAGTCACTTAATTGATATGAAATATGTTTTTTTCTTAGTTATATTGATTTAAAGTATATATGATAAATATTTGCCCTTTCCGGTCATCCTCAAACAAAAATTACAGGCAACAGGGGCCAATTTTTTTAAAAAAAAATGGTTTTATGAAATTTGGATAAAATAAAACATTTGAAATAATGTAACTCCTCGAAAAGCATTTTTTGAATTATTATATGATTCTTTTATTTTTAAAAAATCATCTTCAATTTTAAGTAAAATATCTGTGAAATTCGGTAAAAAAAATCCTATTTAAACAACCTCAGTTCTGACCAATTATGTTGGATGGGGGGGGGGGGGGGGTGTTAAGCGTTTCGTTTTGGTATTTAAACAAAATAATATAATATTTATTTTCAAGCCCAAACTTACCCCCGATTTTCATCAGGGATCTAGTTCATGAAACAATATACATTTAACGTAATGTTTAGTTAGATGATATTGAGGTATGCCTAGATCGCGACTTTCAGAAAATTAAAATGGTGAATCAATATTGGTGGGAAATATAGAAAATAATAAATGCGAGCGCATTTAAATACATACTTATCAAACTTTTATACCTTTCTAATTTGAACATAACCCTTATATAGTGACTGTTTGCATTTTACAAATGTCGGATAAGAGGGAAATTTTTTACCAGCCCTCCTCCCCTTCCAAAAAAAAAATTTTTTTAGACCCCCTAATTTAAAAAAAATATTTAGTTATTAAATTATAATTCCTAAATTAAATCTAAATGAAAATACAACAAAATTTTTAGAAAAATATTATTTATTTTATCTTATATAAATTAAAAAAAACTAGTTAAAACAACATGGGCATAATAATTCATTATATTTTTTGTTGGGAAATCCAAGAAAATTTAAAGAAATAATTATACAATGTCTTTCTGCTGAAAGCATAACTATTTGTACTTTAATGAATTAAATATTAATTCTCATAAAATAAGCTAGGCATATGATGCTGTAAACGTAATGTCTGGCCAAAATTGAGGAGTAGAAACCTTGTTTCAAAAAGATATTAATAAAAAAGTGCCTTGTATACATTGCTACAAGTAGAGATGCAACCATTTGAGCTGACCTTTAAAAACGGCTAATATTTTAGCCAGAAAATTATTGTCTAAACCTCGAGATTTCGATGTGCCATCTATGAGCAAAATCTTTAGGCTTGCGTAATATTTTTCTGGATAAAATACTGTGTTCCCGGCCATCTCGGGAGACTCGCGTACCCTTGGAAGTAATATCTGAAAACCCAAGAGTGGGAATCTATGAAGGACGAAAGCGCGTGCATCACGATTTAGAAGGGGGACAACCAACAGACTCAGTTCCCTCAGGGTCGGATAGGGATAGGGAGAGACATTCTATCAATATTCGTCATTTTGATGCTCGTGGTCAACTCTGGAATGGATCCCGAGGTATAAGTGGAGAGGATATTTTGCAAAGAGTGGTGACCAATACGCTAACAGCTGGTGTTCCGCAGACGGCAGGCGCTGAAGATTTCTGGGTTAACCTAATGTCGATTTAAGAAAATCATGTGTAAAAATATTCTTGAAATGATGTTGTAAGTTTTTTTTTAGATATTTTTTTTTTGTTTTATATCGGACGATATGCCACGATCCCATAAAGGGGTGGCATGTCGTATTTGTAAATACGTGAATGTTTTATATTTTTTTTTAACGCGAAATGCCAATCAACCAATTAAAATAAGGTTGATTGGATAGAAAGATTAGATGTAATATATTATATGTAAAATTTTTTATTATTTTTTTTTTATGAAATTAATTTCTTTTTATATGAAAATGACGGATTTATTGGATTTTGATTTAATTTAATTATTAATAAAGAGATGCTCCCATTTTCAACGGACCATGGCGTCAGTTTTCCAAGGATTGGAAGGAGTATTTTATTATATGGATGATGTGTTAATTACTGGAGTGACGCCGGAGCAGCATAATCAACGTTTGGAGGAAGTGTTTAGGAGAATTCGTGATAAAGGCTTGAGAGCTAGTAAGGAGAAAAGACTAAAAAAAATTAAAACTTTATTCGATATCTAAACTTACACACTAAAAAAAATCCTAAACACAAACTAAGAGAAAAACAGAAACAACTCAAACAAACTCTCGAAACTACAAAAATCACAAAGCAGACAAAAATATAACTCACAAATGATCTCTTTATTAATAATTAAATTAAATCAAAATAAAATAAATCCGTCATTTTCATATAAAAAGAAATTAATTTCATAAAAAAAAAATAATAAAAAATTTTACATATAATATATTACATCTAATCTTTCTATCCAATCAACCTTATTTTAATTGGTTGATTGGCATTTCGCGTTAAAAAAAAAATATAAAACATTCACGTATTTACAAATACGACATGCCACCCCTTTATGGGATCGTGGCATATCGTCCGATATAAAACAAAAAAAAAATATCTAAAAAAAAACTTACAACATCATTTCAAGAATATTTTTACACATGATTTTCTTAAATCGACATTAGGTTAACCCAGAAATCTTCAGCGCCTGCCGTCTGCGGAACACCAGCTGTTAGCGTATTGGTCACCACTCTTTGCAAAATATCCTCTCCACTTATACCTCGGGATCCATTCCAGAGTTGACCACGAGCATCAAAATGACGAATATTGATAGAATGTCTCTCCCTATCCCTATCCGACCCTGAGGGAACTGAGTCTGTTGGTTGTCCCCCTTCTAAATCGTGATGCACGCGCTTTCGTCCTTCATAGATTCCCACTCTTGGGTTTTCAGATATTACTTCCAAGGGTACGCGAGTCTCCCGAGATGGCCGGGAACACTGATGCCGCAAGTGTCCCACCTCCTGACAATTGAAACACTTTTTCCGTCTACTCCCATACGTCGGTGGTTGATTCTCCTTCCGGCGTCCTTCTCCCAGGGTCATATTATCGTGCTTTTTGATTAATGTGACCTGGAGATAAAAATCTCCAAGGTCTACTAGACGTGAGATTGTTTCCATTTCTCGAAGGTGATAAAATATTTGTGTATAACTGGTTCAAGGCTATACGTGGACCTTTTCTTTATTTTGATTTTCAGAAATTAGTAGTAATGACTTAAAAAAAAACTTTATAACAACAAAACTTCAATTTAATAAAAAAAAATATATAATTTACCGGTTCAAGAATATGCGTTGACCTTTTCTTTATTTTAGTTTACAGAAAATGGTAGTAATGATTTCTTGTTAAAAAAAAAATTGACTTTATAACAACAAAAATTTCAATTTAATAAAAGAAGTATAATTTAATATTTCGGGAAATTTAATTGAAAAAAAAAAAAATTTTATAATTAAAAAAAAATCTTTTACAAAAAAAAATTTAAATTAACTAAACACTTTTGTTATTTAATTTTCCTTTTAAAAAAAATCACTTCATACACAAAAACAAAATCAATCCATGATTGCGTTCCAAAACACAAACACGTTTTAAACTTTTCCTATTTCCTTTTACGGTATTCCACACATACACAGACCATTAAATTATAAACAAGAGAAAAGGGGGGGGGGGGGAAAGGAAAAAAAAAACTCAAACAAGAACTTTTAATTAATTATATTTTTTTTTACTTAAAAAAAATATTTTCCCAGTACCAATACCAATGTTCAACAACCATGATTTATCCTATAAGGTTATGAACAAAAATGTATTCACAAAATGAATTACAACTTTAAAAAAAATATTTTCCCAGTACCAATACCAATGTTCAACAACCATGATTTATCCTATAAGGCTATGAACAAAAATGTATTCACAAAATGAATTACAACTTTTCTATTCCTTTTATTTTTTTACACTTTTATTCATTTACAATACATATATTACCACAATTTCAATCTTTTTCCTTGTTTATTACCGACAGCCGGAACATTAAACCAGTTTAACTTAACATTACATATACATACATATACTTCAATTTCCCGTAATATTACCGAGATAACCTCCTTATTCAATTTCACTTTTTTACATAACATCTATCAATAAATTCTAATACCATCATATAATAATACATACACTTAAACAAAAAAGGTTACCGACCGTTCACGTACATTTTACTCCTTCATGCTTTAACTTTGCATAAATATATATATTTACCACTTTAAGATGAGCCCTCTCCTATTTGATCCTTTAACTTCCCATTCCCACATACAATATGTTACCCAAACCTTCATTTACACATTATATATTTGCTCGGAAACGAGTCTAATCCTTCGGGATGCACCTTCATTTTATTTATACATATATTTTCATATTTATATTATCATATGAGGTACCTCAGATTTACTTCCGCGATCTTATATGATCATTGTGGCGCATCACTGTGCCGCCCATTTCTAATTGAATTAAATTCAACTTTGAACCTCTGTTTACCCCAACAATGCCCCTGGCCCATTTCTTGCCCTTCCCGTCAAACAAACGAATCCATACTTTTTCTCCAACTTCAAACCTAATCTTTCAGTCCTCCAAAACTCCCTTCTCGTGACTCTCGGCCCCTAGAAAATCTAGGGGAACCCTAGTCCTCCGACCCAAAAACAATTCAGCAGGTGTCACTCCCTCCTTATTCCTAGAATGGTAATACAACTGGGCCAAATACACCCCATTCCCCTGATTGCCGGCCTCTCT